CCCCGCCGGCAATGATAAGTGGCCAGCAGCATGTCTGGATGGACCAGGACTACATACAGGTTGGTTGAACCTGACCAAACATGGTGCACCTCATGCTGGGGTGGGGGTGGCATAAGAGCCAATGAAACCATGGCTCTATGTGAACTGTGGCCCATAGAAAAAGGTTGAATCTTTGCTGAGATGTGTCGACAAGAAAGAAACTGCATTAGGAGACGCAATTAGAACCAAAGCTTTGGATAAGAAAATACACATAAACATTTTATCATTACACTGAAATGAGATTTACCAGGAGAAAAGTAAAATCGTACTATAATCTTTTTTATAGTGGTGTTTAAAAGAAGCCAATAATAAATAGATTCATTTTTAGCTATGATATAAGGAGTGACATTCATATAAAAACTTGACACGTGGACTCAAATAATAAATCACTAAAGAAGCAGATCAAGTTTGAGGTCAAGATCCGAGGAGATATTTTCCATCGTGCTAGGGTTAAAAAGGAATTTACAGGGCCGAGTATTTAACCCTCAGCACGGGTGTAGACCCACCATGACTTGATATGTTAACGAAATGATNCACTAAAGAAGCAGATCAAGTTTGAGGTCAAGATCCGAGGAGATATTTTCCATCGTGCTAGGGTTAAAAAGGAATTTACAGGGCCGAGTATTTAACCCTCAGCACGGGTGTAGACCCACCATGACTTGATATGTTAACGAAATGATTATTTCTATTGATCGATTAGATCAGACTGTATTGCAATTTCAAAAAATCTAGATAACGTGACCTTGATTAATATTAATTTTTTGAGAGAGGGTGTATTTAATGATCAAGAACAATGTAACGAATACTCGACATATTTCAAGAAATGACTTATAAAAATTATTAAATGTGGAAGAGACATGCAATGAGTGCTTGACATTCTGAGTTAGCTAATCATAACAAGATTAAACTCTGAGTTGATATTAACCTCTTACAAGCTTATTAATTGTGTGGCTCGAGAAGGACCTTGCTCTTTGATGATTGCTCGTATGAAAGCTCCATCAACTAGTTTGATGGGACGCCAATATAGTTACGTCATCTTATTAGAAGGTATAAGTTAAATCTCAGGTATGGATTGACAATCAAATTAGCATAATAAAAGCCTTATCCTCCATTCCTTTGAGTTCCTACTGATTTAATCAATGGACGAGATAAGCTGAACACGTCCCCGACCCCTTTCTAACATTGTTCTCTGTTGTAGGGGCAAATCAAAAAACATTTATCATAATTCAGCTATCTCAATGTATTGCAAGAACTTTCTCCTACAATAAGTTTGACTTTGGGGCTCGAAATCAAAACATATAATTTATAATCTATAACATAAAGTATGACAGACTTTAATAAATCTATACGACAAACTCAAATAGATTTATCCAACGATCACCAATATCTTTCTTAATACTATTCACTTTGTACCGTGTCTTCAAACACGACTTACATTCTAGTCTAAATGAGGTATGGTTGTGCTGCTGGTGCTTTATTGCAAAATTCTTGTATATGTGTTTCCCTTGTCAATTGTATATAAACACATGCAAGTCTAATTGTTCTTCGAGTCTCGCGGTGTAAACACCACACTTTTGCCAATTTTTCAGTGGCACAAGTTTGAATAATACCCATTAATCTAAAAGTTGAAATAAATTTTTAACCAAAAAGTAATAGAAAATTTACTTAATTTAGAATTAATTGTTATATATTGCCCCATCTATATAATACTACATCTTCATATACCCATCTGTACTCTGACATCTTAATAATTGAATTAAACATCTCTTAAGCTAATCGAAGTAATCATTAGTTCAACAACTGACAGTCCATGTCAGTCATATACTTCTCAATTTTTTAAAGAATTTCACCCACTGACTTGTGTTTTGTCTCGGAAAACGCTTCTACATCTGGTCCAAAACGAACTACTGTATGAAGTTTGTTGAAATCATTGAATTGGAAATATGGTAAAGTAGCTCTTGGATGGGAAACAACTCATTTGATAAGTGTCTCAATGACTTTATTTGCAATATTTTTATCTATTATTTTAGAGATTTATAATTCTTTCATCTTACTGGATGGAATTTCAATGCAATGAATAGTGGATTGATAAGAACCGACTATGGTATTGAAAAATAAAATTTCGATGTTATACCAAAATTTATTATATTTGTGGNGGATTGATAAGAACCGACTATGGTATTGAAAAATAAAATTTCGATGTTATACCAAAATTTATTATATTTGTGGGCTTTTTTACTATATTTATATGTGTTTTTTATCATTGTTATAGTACCGAAAAAATAATAAAAATAGTTATCACAACAATGATAAAAACACTCATTACAGTAGTAAAAAGACTTGTAAAAGTAGTAAATCACCTACAAAAATGATAATTTTTTTTGTACCGAAGAATAGCAATAAAAATAATTACTACAATAATAATANAGATATTTTCCATCGTGCTAGGGTTAAAAAGGAATTTACAGGGCCGAGTATTTAACACTCAGCACGGGTGTAGACCCACCATGACTTGATATGTTAACGAAATGATTATTCCTATTGATCGATTAGATCAGACTGTATTGCAATTTCAAAAAATCTAGATAACAACGTGACCTTGATTAATATTAATTTTTTGAGAGAGGGTGTATTTAATGATCAAGAACAATATAACGAATACTCGACATATTTCAAGAAATGACTTATAAAAATTATTAAATGTGGAAGAGACATGCAATGAGTGCTTGACATTCTGAGTTAGCTAATCATAACAAGATTAAACTCTGAGTTGATATTAACCTCTTACAAGTTTATTAATTGTGTGGCTCGAGAAGGACCTTGCTCTTTGATGATTGCTCGTATGAAAGCTCCATCAACTGGTTTGATGGGACGCCAATATAGTTACGTCACCTTATTAGAAGGTGTAAGTTAAATCTCAGGTATGGATTGACAATCAAATTAGCATAATAAAAGCCTTATCCTCCATTCCTTTGAGTTCCTACTGATTTAACCAATGGACGAGATAAGCTGAACACTTCCCCGACCCCTTTCTAACATTGTTCTCTGTTGTAGGGGCAAATCAAAAAACATTCACCATAATTCAGCTATCTCAATGTATTGCAGGAATTTTTTCCGTACAATAAGTTTGACTTTGGGGCTCGAAACCAACGCATATAATTTATAATCTATAATATAAAACATGATAGATTTTAATAAATCTATTCGATCGGCTCAAATAGATTTATCCAACCATCACCAATATCTTTCTTAATACTATTTACATTGTACCGTGTCTTCAAACACGACTTACATTCTAGTCCAAATGAGGTATGGTTGTGCTGCTGGAGCTTTATTGCAAAATTCTTGTATATGTGTTTCCCTTGTCAATTGTATATAAACACATGCAAGTCTAGTTGTTCTTCGAGTCTCGCGGTGTAAACACTACACAACTTTTGCCAATTTTTCAGTGGCACAAGTTTGAATAATACCCATTAATCTAAAAGTCGAAATAAATTTTTAACCAAAAAGTAATAGAAAATTTACTTAATTTAGAATTAATTGTTATATATTGCCCCATCTATATAATACTACATCTTCATATACCCATCTGTACTCTGACATCTTAATAATTGAATTAAACATCTCTTAAGCTAATCGAAGTAATCATTAGTTCAACAACTGACAGTCCATGTCAGTCATATACTTCTCAATTTTTTAAAGAATTTCACCCACTGACTTGTGTTTTGTCTCGGAGAACGCTTCTACATCTGGTCCAAAACGAACTACTGTATGAAGTTTGTTGAAATCATTGAATTGGAAATATGGTAAAGTAGCTCTTGGATGGGAACAACTCATTTGATAAGTGTCGCAATGACTTCATTTGCAATATTTTTATCTATTATTTTAGAGATTTATAATTCTTTCATCTTACTGGATGGAATTTCAATGCAATGAATAGTGAATTGATAAGAACCGACTATGGTATTGAAAAATAAAATTTCGATGTTATACCAAAATTTATTATATTTGTGGGTTTTTTTACTATATTTATATGTGCTTTTTATCATTGTTATAGTACCGAAAAAATNGAATTGATAAGAACCGACTATGGTATTGAAAAATAAAATTTCGATGTTATACCAAAATTTATTATATTTGTGGGTTTTTTTACTATATTTATATGTGCTTTTTATCATTGTTATAGTACCGAAAAAATGATAAAAATAGTTATCACAACAATGATAAAAACACTCATAACAGTAGTAAAAAGACTTGTAAAAGTAGTAAATCACCTACAAAAATAATAATTTTTTTTGTACCGAAGAATAGCAATAAAAATAATTACTACAATAATAATAAAAATACCCGCCAAAGTTATAAATCACCCACAAAAATTATAAATTTTTGTTGTAAAATAACCCTCAAAAATTGTAAAAATATCCTGTAGTCAAGTCCTTTTCTCCTCTTGTTAGTTGTTCTCTTCTGCTAGCCAATTTAAGTGTATCAGTAATATAAATTAACAAGCATGTTTGTTCTGGATATTATATCATAATAGAAGACCATATCTGTGTTCATACCTGCATGTAGAAATGGTATCTAAGTGAGACATTGATGGTCCTATACAGGGAGAAGTTGATAGTAAGTCATTCTCGATGAGGGTTGGCCAGGAGACAAGCTACTAGGTCTGCTGTGTCATCTTCCTCATACAGTGGGACCCTGACACCTTGGCCCAATCAAGGTCCAACATTTGTCACTCACCACATATTGTCCCTCACATATCTTCACCATTCTATATATATAGTGTCTAATTTCCCTTGAAATGTTCATTCAACATAGCAAGCTTCAAAAACTTCCCACCAAAGATCACAGTTTCTTCAATGTGGGGGTTTGTGTGTGTGTGTGTTAGAGAGAGTGGAAAACTGGTGATGCATTTCCCTCATTGAGAACAAAATGAATTCCTCACTCCTTGCAACATAAACATCTCTTGAAGCACAATTTGTAAGACAGGACAGCATATGCGACTATCATCGCTAACATGTCGCCGAAATTACCTCAACTATTTATTTATATATCGATGCTGTACATAAGAAATGTTTATTTGCAAAAAAGCTTGGCTCCATGGGATTCCATGGTACCTGTGAACTATAATAGAAACTCATAACTGACAAGGTCCAAGATTTGCAAACGATCTTCTTTTAAGGAGTTCTCTTCCTTAGTTGTATCCTCAAACTATAATGAACTCCCATATGAAATTCTCAGTTGTCAAAAAATTCCCATCCATCTTCCACAAAGGCCTTGTGATCATCTCTGGCTGTCTCCTCACATATGAAATTCTCAGTTGTCAAAAAATTCCCATCCATCTTCCACAAGGGCCTTGTGATCATCTCTGGCTGTCTCCTCTCCATATACAAGCTTCTCATGAATCAAGGGTGTTGGGCTGGTCTTGTTTTCTGTTTCAGTTTCATCATCTTGCTCAGGTACCTGATCAGGAGCCATATTCTTCAAAGATGAGCCTGAAGAGGCTAAGATGCAACTTGCTTGAGCGGAAGAAAGAGACTTCCCAAGTGGTACAAGCTTGTCAAACTTCTCCTTCAGCAACTTCATTTCTCCTCTGCGCATGACAAGTAAATGCTTTAGTTACTTGGTCTGTCCAGGATTTTTGCAATTCATACTCAATAGTCAAATATCTATGAAGCATCATCTATGAATTTCCAAACTCAGAAACATTCAAGGATCTAATTAGACAGAGTACACTCAGAGATGACCTCTGATCTTGAGGCCCAAAGGTCTCAGATGCACAAGAAGACACAGTGAAAGAACTACAGTTGCAAGAACCTAAAATGAACTTGTTGCCCAATGTTTTAATTTGGGTGATCATGTTCTGCAAATAGTATAGCTCACACATCAAAATAATGCTCAATGTTGTAACTCATTTGATTTAAGTCCTCTGGATAAAACATCCTAGGCAATGTGGGGAACTCTTAAGTCTGCTCTGGATTTGTTTAAGCCTCTGTTGAACAGAGCATCAGGACGTTGAACAACAGCAACGACCAATTCCTTAACTAAGGACAAAAGTTCCCAGCTCTGGAAGTATAATTAGACATGAACTCTGCCGTTGAGGCCCAAATGCTTGCTAACCCCCTCCAATCTAATAAGGTCCCACTGCCCCAAATCAAAACTGGCACGTGCAATTACACTGTGCAAACCATATGTATAAGCTAAATATTTGAAGGGAAAACATCCTTGAAGACATAGCTACTCGGTTTTAGATCTGGACAGCAACAAAGCACTGTAAATGCATGATAACTGACAAACTGAACCATAATTTTTGCCATCAGCGAGAAAACTTACTGCAGCATGTCAACGACACAGCCCCGATCCATAAGGAATTCACGTAACTGCAATGAGGCAACAGTGAAAGATCAAACATGTGGATATTAATTACTTCTTCTTGGTGGGTGGCCCCACCAAAAAGAGTGCTATATACATGCTTCCACATGTTACTAACCTTACAATTCTTCTCTGCTTCTTGCTTCAGTAGCTTTGACTCTTGAACCACCTTCTCCATTATGAGTTCTTGCTCGGCAAATGCTTTCCATGCAGACTCCACTTTTTCTAGCCTTTCCTGCTCTGCTTCCTTCCTCAGTTTCTCTGCTTCAGCAAGACGTACCTCAACTGTTTGACGCATCTGCTGGAAAAATCCTTTATATAAATCTACCAAAATGTATTATAGCGGATACTACGATTACTTCAAAGAGGGGAAAATTGTATGGACACCACATGATGAGTTTAGAACTGATATAAAAATATATATAAATTCAAACCAGCAGACGAAAATGACAACATGATTCTTAAAATCTAACCCCCAAGGTAACAGTAAACACGTTGCCAGGGTCAATGGATGGAGTGAATCTTTTAGGGATATACAAACAATGATTAATGAAGTAACATACATACTCATGCGTTAGTGCAAACCAAATTCCTACAGGTAACAGAAGACCCTAAAGAGCGAGCAACATCTGTATACTGTATCCTTGCCCAAGACCTCTGCAACAAAGTCTTTGAGAGCTAAGAAAGGAGGTGGTGGTAAATATATATATCCAATTAGAAATACCAAAACTGGGATACTAATAGTAAAGACATCACATTTACAGCTAAAAGTGCAGAAAGAACTTATATTAACAGCACACCTATCAAACATGCATTATTTTTTATGCAACATAAAACTCAACTCGTCTCGGTTAAACCTTTTCCCAATTATAAGGCATATACTACAGCAGTATCAAGAGGATCTCAACCAGCTATAAAGATCCAGATTCCAGATTCACTAAAAATTGAGTCAAAGGTTTTGGTTTTTTTTTTTTGGGGGGGGGGGGAATGGATGCAACGAGATCACCTCAGCAAGAATTGCAAGAGATTTGTCCCTTTCATCTGACAAGCTAAGCACGCGAGATTGAAGCTCCCTCACTTCGGTAGCTAGGATGGCCCTCTCTCCATATACTTCACCAGCACGCTGCAACATAAGAAAAGCAAACGGTGTTTTTTGCTCTATCATGGAGAAAAGATAAATTGTTAATATAGTAATTAACATATGCCCACCATGTCATTTGCTTCCTTTTCATGTTGCAGCTTCTGTTTAAGGTCTTCCACCCCGACGAGTATGTCCAAGCCTGCCTCAGCTGCTTCCTCTACAGCTTTCTCTTGAAGCTCCAGTTCTCTCATCAAGCTAATAACTGACTGCATGGCTGAAAACAATGTTTTCTGCACAGCACGCATTTATTAGAGCAAAAATCAGTCATATCATAAGGTCATAATAGATGTCCCACCATACCCTTCCTCCCAACTCCATATGTATTTCAACTCTCGTGCAATGTAAATAGCCTATAATGGTAATGTTCAATCTCTGACCCTAACTGAGACCATATTACCTTGCTACCTCTTGCTTCTTCAATGATATCCTCAAGAAGGTCAGTACTACAAATTCGGGCAGATCGTGTAATCATATCGTTCAAGTCACCATCAAGATCAACCATTTCACAAGTGCAAATATCTTTCTTGGAAGCAGCATTGAAAGTATTGCTAGGCTCTGGACCTTCTGGTTGCTCAACATCAGCAGTTACCATATCTGGCATGGCTACCAACTGAAGGCCGCTTTCTGGAACATTCTGAACGCATTCTTGTTCGGGGGATTCAGCCAGCTGGACCATAGAACTGTCCACTTCCAAAAGGTTTCCATGCACGTGGTGATGGCTTTCACCCTGGACAACCATATCAAAATCACAAGATTCCAAAGTGGTTGACGAGACAAGTGAACTTAGACCGGGCTCAACTATAGGACTGCTTTCACTTTCAGTGACTACATGTTTTTGATGAAAATTGTGATGATGTTCACTTGTACCATTGTCATGTATCAAGGCGATAGATGTGACACGGGAGGACATATCAAGCGCACCTTTGTCACAGCTCTCATCGCATTTCTGTGACAAGACCAGTTCATCATTTCCATCATCTGCACATACTTGATCATGACTTTCATTTGCATCATAGAACGAAGAACCCTTTAGTGCCTCATCCATGCATATTGAATCCGCCAGAAGGCCCTCATCACTCCGAACAGTTGTATCAGCATCTGTAATGTCCACTAAGATGAACAAGCAAAGTCCAATTAATGCATGCTCAAAGGTTTTAAGATGGGAGTTAACTCTAGGATTAGCATAGCACATAGAACTCACAGCAGGGGATACGTAAAATATGGAAAGTTGAATTTAAAATGGCACTTGCTTAGCTTTCAATCAAGAGAGAAGCATTACCTTCAGATGAATTTACTGCAATCTCACTCTCGTTGGAAGAATTAGTGGCCATTGTCCTTTCAGAAAGAAAAGGAATAACCTCAGTGAGAACAGCCTCAACTGCTACATTAGCATCCTTACGATGCTCAACAGCAACAGCCCTCAGTAAGCGAGCATCAATCTGTTCAAAAACTCTTTTTTGGTTATTTACTAAAATAACAGAATTATAAAATTTAAAAAAAAAAAGAAAAACAGTTACATTGACCTTCCTAAATGTCCTACATTTTTTTTTTCATCTGGTTCAAGGTTGTGACTAAATTATAGCTTCATTCCTAAATATCTGGTGGAATTCCTATAGCCCACAGAATCTAAAGCCCCAAATATACAAAGCACTATATATCAATCTATACACACCAGATACCCATCACGGACATGACTGCTTCTTTTTCTTCCTTTTTTTTTTTTTTTAGTTCAAGGGTAAGAGTTGTCCAATAGGGAGCTGGTGGTGGTTTCTCTTTCAATTTGGGTTATAGCCCAAACCCTCGAACTGTTTTATGATGTATTAGTGGAACCCTTGGGACGCCTTGCTCCTTGAGTATCATGGGATTAAATACCCTGACCTCCAGGAGGCCCTATTTCTCTTCTCGAGCTCATGTTCTTTGTTCGTGGAGGGTACTAAGCACGGGATAATTACGCCCACGTGCACCTCGACTAATCCCTACTACTTCTTTACACATTCCATAATAGAATCATAAAAAATAATAACAAAGGATGCACATATAAAACAAATATACTAAACTTATCTCCAATGAAGACGCAAAAAACATATTCGAATTAAATAGCCTAATTAAGGACACAAGGTTTCATAGTGAGATACCTCTGCTACGTGTGGGAAAATTTCCTGCAGCACCCTATGAACTTTATTGAAACCCATCTCAAACAGCTATAAAAGCTGCATAAATTAACCCAACACAATTTATCCAACGGTAAGAAACATCAATCAACGAATACCAATAATGTCATAGGCAAAAAAAAGGAATAAACAAACCAGTACTGGTATTTAGATAATATATACAGTGGAGACACGGACAGAGGAGGATAAATGCGCAAAGAAACTTGAAATTTGCAAATCTTTTCTTGAGACCCAAAACCCTAACCCTCGGTTTGGTTGTCGAGAAAAAAATAGTAATAGAGAAGAGAAGAGAAGAGCAGAGCAGAAATTACGGAACTGAACCAGTTAACTGAATTGGGAGCCACCGGAGCTGAAGACAATGAGCCTCTCAATATCAAATTTCAATGCGTATTACGTAAACCCTTAAAGACGATCAGAGAGTTAGAGTTTGAGACAAATACTGACCTTTGGTGTTTGCTTTATTGTTAACTGCATGCCCTGTGTGTGTGTGTGTGTGTGTGTGTGTGTGTGTGTGCGCGCGCGCGCGAGAGAGAGAGAGAGATCAGTTCAGTATTTGTAGAGCGACGGCTTCGGGGCTAAGAAATTGGGTATAAGTGTCCATTTAAAATTCCAGGGAGGGTGTTTCGTCTAATTGGTTAAAAGTTTGATCCGCGCCCGAGGGTTATATGGATCGGATTTGTTGGTGGAGGGTTGGCCCGTGTAATTGGGATTAAGTCTTAGGTGAGGACTCGGTGGGCACCAGTCCTGAATATGCAGCCCTTAAAGAGGATTGGGCCGGCCTGCCGTTCCTCTTAAGTGGAGTTCCCTTTTCTTTTCTTTTTTTAATACTTTAAATTTTAAAACACAACCGCTTGCATCAAACAGTTTATACATTTAACTGCTATGGGTGTGGTCGGGGCCTGTTCACTGACCAATGTTTGAACTTTGAAGCCTTCACTTGGGCCCTTGGCCCTAAACAAAGGCAAGCCATTTTAATTGATCAGGCCCCAGCCCAGGTGATGGGCCAAAAATGTACCATGAAATACTTAATTAAATTTAAAATTCTAATACATTATTACCATTAGATTCACAGTAAACCCCTACCCAATGTGGAACTGATGCATGCTTAGGGAGGAAGTAGAACTGAGTGGTGTGAATTTATCAATTTTATTTTGTTCCATTTTATTCATCACTGTATAGTGAGATGAGAGCAAATAGTAGGAACAAATTTGGCATTGCAACACCTTGGTAGCCATGTTAATACTTCTTTGGGTTAATTATATTAGGGTCCTCTATTCCCTAACGTAAGAAATTTGTCTTATTTTAATTCCTAAAAAATTGAATATACTTTTGTAGTTTTTCAAGTAAATAGTGTTCAGATTGTTAATAATTTTTTATTATAAATTTATTAAATAATACTTAAATATGGATAAAAAAATAATTTGGATAACTCTTGACCAAATTTTTACCCAAATTTTGGTGAAATAGTTACTCAAATTATATAGTTTTGATCACGAACTATCCAAATTTTGGTGAAGAGTTATTCAAATTATTTTTTTGCTCATATTTAGGTATCACACGATAAGTTTATGNACGAACTATCCAAATTTTGGTGAAGAGTTATTCAAATTATTTTTTTGCTCATATTTAGGTATCACACGATAAGTTTATGATCAAAAAATGTTAGCAATTTAGATGTTTTTTATTTGAGAGACCACATATAAATATATTCGATACTTCAGGGATCAAAATGATACAATTGAAATATTGGAAACCAAAATGAGATNATATTCGATACTTCAGGGATCAAAATGATACAATTGAAATATTGGAAACCAAAATGAGATAAACTTCATATTTTTAGGACTTTCGGTGCAATTAGTTATACATTTTTTTTTTTGATTTAAGGATTAGGAGTATTTGGATTAGTTAACACGTATCTCGATTAATTCATTTTCTAGTTCGATCAAAAGCAGACCATCCACGCCAGAATTAAGGTTTTCATGAGAGATAAATCCTTCATGATTTAACCTTAAAAAATTATTAAAATTTAAACTCAAAATATCTAAATTTATTACTGGTATTTTTTACCACTTTAGCTGCAATTGACGTGGCAATGCTTATACTTCACCAAACCAGTACACCTCACACAGGGTGAGCTGAGGCATTTTAAACTAGTCAGAACCTAAATTTCTCCATAAACACCAACCCCAAACCAAACACTCTCTTGGTCATTCCAGTCCCTTTTGTGAACCTACAAGAATACCTACCTAATTCAAGGACCATGAAAAGCTTATGAATGCACAAGAATATAAGCAGAAGCTAGCTAGCATGTTATTCTGTAGCCATTTATTTTCCTCTCTCCTCTTTTTTCCTTTCACACTTGCAGAGAAGAGGCAACAACCACCAAGAATGGAGAGATCAAACATCCTTCATTTAGCATTCTTCATGATACTACTCCTTGTGCTTACTCCCATGACAGAGAGTCAGTTGCTGCCATTGCCACCTGCCACTTCTCGTCCACTTTGTGTCTCACAGTTTGCGCTTGTGAACTCTGCTTGTACAGCCCTGCCATTCTACCCTGACCACCCTCCACCCCCACCTTCTCCTCCTCCTCCTCTTCCGTCACATAATGAATCAGAGCATAGACATAGACACAGACACAAGCACGGACACAGACATGTACATGGACATCGACATGGGTGGCATGGCCTCCGGGGGACACCGGTGGAACAGGATTGTTGCCGGTGGTTGAAGTCGATGGACAGTGAGTGTGTCTGTGATCTGCTGGTTTACTTGCCACCTTTCCTTTCCAGGCCCGTGCACCAGTACAATGTTGTGGTTGATGACTCGTGCAACGTCACTTTCCAATGCGCTAGCCGTTTAAGGACTTAATTGTTACATTTTAATTATAATGCATCTATCCATATACAATCTTGTTTACTTATGCTTGTTGTGTAGGTTTCAACTACCTATGATTATACGCTTTTCTACTGAATTCTCTTATTAAGAGGTGGAATCTACCTTTGCAGTTATCATGATTTTGTATGTTTGTCCTGGAGTGGCAATTTTGATTTCGATTCGAATTCAACATGAATTTTATTACAAAAATTTAATTATAATTCGACATGAACTCGAAAATGAATCGATACGCGAATACGAAATAAAAACAGGTTATGTTCGAGTTCAACCCGCCAAACCTGAAAATTGACATGATTAATCTGTTTATTTAAGAATGTAAACTTTCTCTATTTTTTCGTTTGTATGGTAACACGAAAAATACAAAATTAACATATTTAACTAGTATTATAGAAATAAAATATTAATTATTTGTAACTATTTATTAAGCACTAACATAATTATTGTATAAAAAATATATTTTTATTAATTAATTTATTTTTATTATTATTATCAAGTTAATTTTTAGTTTGTAGAAAAAATATGAATATTGATTCAATTAAGTGCAAATAAAATATTAGCGTTACATTTTTTATTTAAATTTTATGTGGGTCAACACGAACACGACACAAAAATAAATAAGTCAACTTGACATGACACGATTTATTAAATGAATTGGATTAAAATTGATTAATATTCAACATAAACTTGTAATAACTCAACATGACACGACACGACTCAATTTTCACCTCTAGTCATGCCACTAGAAACATGCATGGGTGGAGGGTGGGACTTGGGGGG